GGGAACACTGCAGAAAGGGGTGGAAGGGTAAGAGCCAGAGGGCTGGGACATCAGCTGTGAGGTTATGTTGTCTATATATGACAGGGAAGTTTCACCCATAAACTCTCAACAACATTGCTGCTTCAGCAAGACCTGGACAAAGACACCCACCAGCTGACATCCCAGGGTGGATGGGTGGAAATCAAGACGAAGTGCAACAGGCAATTTGTGACTGAGAAAATGAGTCTTCTCCAGGGATGACAGCTCCCCAATCGGTTATCCAATACCAAGTGGTCAGCCAGGAGAACATACTTACTGAATAGCTCAGCAGGTTGTGTTTATATTCTTATTCATAAATGCGTATGTACATAAAATAATTAAAAAGAAGCAATGAATGTGTGAGCAGGGGTAGGATATGGGAAGGGCTTTGAAGGCTTGGACGGAGGGGAAATGTAAATATAGTACAAGTATATAAAATTTAATAGATGATACTTTTGGTAAAGTTTGAATATCAGTGATAAACACAGTACAAAAATTAGCCTGAAAAAAATTAATGTCTTTCAGAGATGACAAGTTTCTAGAAAAGACAATAACAAGATTAAAAATATTTGTAAGAAACCTTAAACCCATGTGAATCAGTTTTAAAATGGAAAGCAAAAACAAAAACAAAACCAAAACAAACAAACAAAAAAAACAAAACCAAAACCAAACCACAAACAAAACAAAACAAAACAAAAACCAAAACCAAAAAATGGCAAGGGCTTCATATATGATTCTGTGGTTAAGAGCACTGGCTGTTCTTTCAAAGGCCCTGGATTAAACTTCCAGCACCCACGTGGAGGCTCAGAACCATCTAAATTCGTTTTCCAGGATATTGGGTCCCCCTTCTGGCCCCCTTAGGCACTGTCACACACAGTGAACAGACATTCATGTAGGTGAAACCAAACAACCATATTATAGAATTTGAAAAATTTTAACAGGCAATAATTTGCTACTACTAGAGCATTGTAAGAAATTTCCAGTTTGAGTTTTAGACACTATAGAGAAACTATCCAATTTCTCTATATAGGGATGATTTTTTTGTTTGTTTCTAAGAAACTTATTTCCTTGTGGTTTGTATTGCTGTACTAGAATACCTGAGCCAGATTAATTTAAAAAGAGGAGGTTTATAGTCATAGTTGGTTTATATATTCTACATTTCTGAGGGCCTTCTGAAAGCCTGTGGTAGAAGCTGCCTTTAAAACCTATTCTCCAGGGCCAGGTGTATGAACACCTTTAATGCCAACAATTGGGAGGCAGAGGCAGGTAGAACTTTGTGAATTTGAGGCTACCTAGGTTTATACAGAAAATCCCAGGCAAGCCAGGGTCACATAGTGAGACCCTGTCTCAAAAACAAACAAAAAACAAACACAGCCAATGTGAACAAACAAGCGTTTCATGTACCTTCACTATTTACTATGTTCTCCTTTCTGGAAATTTGCATCATGAAAAAGAAGTGGCTGTCCCGAATCCCTATTCCTTACCATCCTCGCCTCTAAACCTTACATCATCCTTCTTAGGATAGGAATGACTGTATTAGCTGTTAGGCAGCCAGTGACCTGGGGATCCAAAGGGATTCTCAAGGAGTTTACCTTCTAGAGGAGACACTGTTGCAAACAGTTCAACAATACAGTTCATAGTGCAGAGAGGTAGAAATGGAAGGTACAGCACTGGAGCAATCACTCAGAGTCACAGGACATGTGGCGCACCCGAGCTGAGCTATAAAGAAAGGCTCCAGGGTACTGCAGGAGGACAGGACACTCTGCAAAGAGGCTAAGTGCAAAGACAGAGGCAGAACAGGCAGGGCAGCCTGACGGCTGGATGAAGATGGCTGGGATGGAAACGACTTCCTACGGTCAGCAAGTGGACACTTTAAAAGGAGCAGCCTGTAGGTGTTCCACATGGCTTAAATCTTAAAATTGTGGTGTTGTAATTACACCCACCCAAAGCTTGAGAATCAGAGGCTCAGTACTTCAGGTCACAGAGATCAAAGCTATGAAATCTGCCTCAGAAGGCACGCTTAGCACAGCTGTGAACCCCAGGACAGATGGGCCATGTGATAGCAACCGAGATAATGCTTGAGGAGTCTAAGTCAGCTTTTTCTTAACCCATCATTCATAACTCTACCTTGCATAGAGCTTTTGCCATACCCAAGAATCATTTTTAACAGTTTTTATCAACTCTTCTTTTTAAAACAGAAGATTGAATTTTGTTTTAAACTAAAGGATACCATCATAATGTCCTAAGGGGTATAAAAGTTAGAAAGGGTGAGGACTCCAAAGACAAAAATGTAGATTCATAGTTAGAGCATAGAGATGACCTGGCATGCCAAAGAAAGACAGATACTGGGAACAGCAAAAGTTACTCAAAACACCTCAGAAAGATGGTGGCCCCGACAAGGAAGAAGCCAGGGTGATTGTCTGAGGGAGTCAAGGGGTGAGGAAAGACGGAATTCAGGACAAGGAGACCAAGGTTGGGCTGAAGTTATGTTAGAATAGATAAGATGAAGGATGGAGAAATACGCTGTTTACACTTGATTTTAGCCAAATCCCAGAAGCATAAAGGCACCACTTAAAAACGTGTTTAGAAAGTTGCTGGAGATGTGCTTCAGCTGAGAGTCGTTGCCTAGCATGCACAAAGCCCCAGGTTCAAAACTCAACACCCTATAAAACTGAGCACATGCCTTCAATACCACCACTGGGGAGACAGAAGCAGGAGACCAGAAGCTCAAGGTCATTTTCTACTGCACAGCAGGTTTCAAACAAGCCTGGGTTACAGGAGACCCTGTGTGAGCTGTGAAATTTCCAGAGGCTGAGGAAGGGCTGCATTATGGGACAGCAGACATCGGAATAGTAGAGTCCGCCTCAGCACAGCTGCTTCCTCCCAGGTGAGCATGTCATCATCAAACCATAACCATCCACTCCCCCATCTCCTGTAGCGCTGGCAACACTAGTTTAACTGGGAGATGACAAACAACAACAAAACAGGCTAGTTGGAGGCCACTGCTAGAATAGTATTTGGGTTATTAATAGTGTGTCATCTTAATTCTTCGACAGTATCTAGACAGAAAACTTAGCACATTATGGTGGCTCAGTATCCAACCATACTGTAAATAGTTGAAAAGGCAAAATTAGAGGCTAGTCTCCTATAGCATTATTTTTATTTTGTTATGACTTCTGGTTTTTCTTTGAAACAGTTTCTACTACAGGACAAGCAGGCCTCGAATTCCAGTTCTCTGTACGTTATAAAATGTAAGGTTTAAGACCTTCCCAGATTACAAACCATTTCTCAATGCCCATGAGGTTACTATGTTGGGTCAAACATGTTCCTCTGAGAAACATCTTTACAAGTGGTAGTTGAAAGAGCCTCAGGCACCCAGTGGTCCCCACCTCTTGCATTTGTACCCTTGTGTATCATCACCTCACCTCTTAAGTGTGCAAGAGACCTGTGACTTGCTGCTTTTAACCAAGAGTTAAGGCATAAACCAATGGCAAGTTATCCATTTTGATAGTAGTCTCTACGATTCTCCTTTACTTTCAGAGAGCAAGTAGCCACGCTGTGACCTGCTCTGGGAGAATGCATGTGGAAGGAGATGGCAGGTCGCCATCTGCCCACCAGCCAGCCAAAACAAAACAAAACAAAACAAAACAAAACAAAACAAAAAAACCCAAAAAACCTCTTAGATCTAAAGTGCAAGAAAAAAAGCTCTGCCAGCAACTGAAGCACAGAAGCAGACTGTCCCTCCGTCAAGCCTCCTGGTGAGCTCCCAGCCCTGAACACCACCTGGACTGTGGCTTTTGAGTCCCAGAGTAGAGGTCCCATCACTGTGTTTCAATTCTTGAACTACAGACTATGGGATTAATAATAAATATGTGGTATTTCAAGACACTAAATTTATGGTATTTTATTATAGCATTGAAAATACAGAAATCTTAATATTTAAAAAAAGGAAAAAAAGAAAAGTAAAATTGAGTTACTGGCCACATGGAATATTTATTAATGAAGAATCCAAAGGTTAGTCTTCAATGCTCATTTCCATGATTTTTAGAGTCGATAATTCCTTGTCATGATTACTGCCCCCTTTGATTCTGGGGAACTGAGCAGAAGGGAACAAGGATGTGCTAAGACAACAGAGTTCCCTGGAAGGCTCAGCCTTTTCATAGTCACTGTCACCTTCAATGACATCCACAGAGGTTTCCTGATCTATTAAACTGTCAGAAATACTTGGATTGTTTTCATCCCAGGTTGAGGCTTCAAGATCTGTTTCATCATTGATCTGTTGAATTATAACACTTTCTGAATACTTGGATTTATGGCTGGGCCTCAAAAATTCACCCGGAAGAGAGAACATCTTTTCATCCTTCGGCACAGATGACAGCATCTCCAGGGCCTCCTGGTATTGCTGACGTTCATGCTGCATTACTGTATCCTCATCATTTGTGAGTTCATGTTGTTTTGAAATCAGAGCCTTTTGAAAATCAAGTTGATTCAACATTCTGAATTTCTTTTGCTTTTCTGGCTTTTCCTCAGATATACAGCCTAAGTCAACCTTCAGCCCATGCAGCAGGTAACGCATTTTCCCCTAGAATTAATGAAAAAAAAAATTCAATTCTGAGAATCATCACATTAGTTAAATTAACAAAACTTCTGCCTGCAGGGCTGCTAGTCTCAGAGGAGTAGCACACTCACAGCCCCTACACCCCTTCCCCTCACAAAAGGCATAAGGGGGAATTATCTGTTTTGAATTCTTTTAGAATATAGAAAAACATTAAATTCTAAAGAGACAAACCTCCTCCAAATGATGTTTATTTTGATTTATATGTCGCTCAAACAGTCGTTCTAAAAACCTACAAATGATAAAGATAAATATTAATATCTTAAAATTCGATAAACCACTAAATGTAACATAGTTATATAGTGTAAAAACTGACAAAGGCTGGAACGTGGTTTCCAGATGAATGGTGTTCTCTGTGAAGCTGGAGAGTAATCCTTCCTGCTCTGTCAAGTTCTCTAACCTGGCAGGCAGCCTGGCTTCTGTTACACATTTGTTTTTAAGTTAAATAATAAATACCAGTGTAGCTGAAGGATTGAGTACTCTTTATGTTTCTGTTTCAGGTGAGGCACAGAAGTCCCTGCAAAGGTCTCTCCCCATTAGACACACAGACATTAAAGATCTCTACACTCTACACCCTTCTCTGTGAGAGAAAATGCTCTCACAGAGCTAGTTCATCTTGGCTCCTAAAGGATACCCTCCATTGATGTCAAACCTACAAAACAACCTCCATGTAAATGCCGGGGAATTATGCTAGCATAACTAGACACACAACAGTCTGCCCCACCCACCCCAGACATGGTCTATGTAGCCCTTGCAACTCTAAGCAGACCAGGCATGTGCTACCACACCTGGCTCACAGCAACACTTTTAACTCTCCTCCTGCCAAAGCCAGGACATGAAGGTCCTGTGAGAACCATATTAAAGAGAAAAGATTACACCTCTAGGATGAGCTTCCTATCCCCTAAGGTCACAAGGTCTTCAGAGAACGTACCCTTTCTACACCAGGCCCAGTATCACACTACACAGCCACAGTTTCCTGAAACACAATTTCCCCAGTCACTCAAGTTAACTCATGCTCTTCAATGATCTTCAACAATCCAGGAGGTCTAGGTTAGTCTATCATTTTTAAAAGACCAAGAGTATCCTACTCTTTATAGCTACTGTTTACAATCTGGAATATTCACACCTTGGCATTTTTCTATGCTTATGGAATTGCATAATTGGAATTAAACAATACATACTATTTGGGCACACACACACACATTTTCAGATCAACAAGATGCACTTTGAATGTCTTTTTTGCACCATTCTTTCTCAGGCTGGTTCTGTTTGGTCTTATGAACCAATGCTAAATCTTAGGAGGAAAATATAAACAGTTAAGGAAAAATGTGAATGCTTTGCAAATTTTGGGGGGTTGTAGTAAAAAACATGAAAGTTACCATTTTAACAATATAAAATGTGTAGTCCAGTACTGTTCAACATATTTACTTCTTAAAATTATTAGTCTTGTACATGTATGTATAAGTGTGCATGCCTGTGTATACACTCAAGGTAAAGGACAGCATCAATGCTTATCATTCTCTGCCTATTCCTTTAAGGCAGGGGTGCTCCCGAACTGAAGCTCCCATTTTCAGGTGGGCTGGCAGCCAGCAAACCCCAGTAAGCCTCCTGTCTCTGCTCCTGACAGCCCTGCATGAGATCACACTTGGCTCATTATGTGGGTGCTGAGATCTGAACTTGGGTCCTCATGGTTGTACAGCAAGTGCTTTAAACCACCGAGTCATCTCTCCAACCTCCATTAAACAAGTTTTTTTTTTTTTCTTCTTCTTCAAATAGAAGAGGTCTGAGAGTTTTAGCACACACTGACCTCTGATCTTTAATTCCAATAATGAAAGTGTCTTCCTTCATTAAAAAGTAAACCCTGTGAGGCTGGAGATAGGGCTCAGAGGTTAAGAGCACTGGCTGTCCTTCCAAAGGTCCTGAGTTCAATTCCCAGGAACCACATGGTGGCTCATAATCATCTATATAACGAGATTTGGTGCCCTCTTCTGGCCTGCAGGCACATATGCAGGCAGAATACTGCATTAAAAAAAAAAAAAAAGTCAACCCTGATGTAGGCCAGAAATAGCCACTTCAGTGTCTGAGAAAGTGTGCAGAGCGTGTTATGGAGTCCTCTGCTCTGCAATGTGTACAAACAGTTTCTCATTTGTCTTTATTAGATCTTATATAAGTTGTAGTAAAAGTGTTTGTGAGCTGATAAGATGGCTCACCAAGTAAAGGTATATGCCACCAAACCTTATGGTTGAGTTCACTTTCCAGGCCCGCAGAGTGGAAAGAGAGGATTGACTTTCATAGGTTATCTTTGACCTTTATAGCATGCTTGACATGTAACTACAAACATATATAAATGTAAGAAAATTTTGAAAACTTTTTTTTTTATTCCCATTACTGTTTCTGATAGCAAGGTAGAATTATGGAAGCTTTCCACACAGATAGCAAAAATTCAATTCATTATATAATCTGATATAATAATATTTAAAATCTATTGTTTTCTGTGGAGTATGAAACAGTCTTTGCAACTTACTATCGATTATAAGAAAATGATTACAAAAAGCAATATACCTTTTTACAAGCTTTAATAGTGTGAAAAATATTTAATGTACATCTCAACTGCCATACACATTAAAGAAAAATCTCTAACCTGTTGGAAAATAAACCAAGTTTCAAGATTTCATCTGTCACATTTTCCATGAAGTTCAGGTACAGCAGCTCTTCTTCACTGCAGAGGAACACGAGCATCAGAACCATCTCATGGCGTGAGAGGCCAGGCGGGCACACCCAGCTCTGCCATTACAGGGATTGCTGCCCATGAGTACAGCGAATATTATAAAACAAATCTGTTTTCTCATGTTCAAAAGGAAAATAGTACAAGTGAGAAAATACTACCCAATGGAGAAAAATTTCAACTTTCTGGAACACTCATAACAGCAAAAGGACTAAGAGAGCTTATACCCAGGGAGGCAGGGTAGGTGTAATGCTTATCAAGTCCTGCTCCAGCATCTTGTGTTCAAGTTGGAAAATTTACTGAGCAGAAAGATGTTGTTTTCAAAATCCATATAAAGGAGAAAAGATTTTCTAATAGGTAAATTTATAGATGAAAATGCAGTAGTAATCTTTTAAATCACTTAAACACATTTCTTACACTATTTCATGTCTAATTTTAGTACCTATTATAAGAAAGTTAGGATACTATTATAATTGATTTGAGTTAGCTCAAATCATGAATTAATGGAAAATGGCAAGTAGCTACTCAATTGATGAATACAAATATAGGGAGAGGTGGTTGTGATAAATCAGCATGTTTTAAAAACAACCCATATAACTTGCTTAAGAACAACCAGACTTAGAAATAAGTGAAACTATAAAATAGATTATTTTCCTGAAAAATATTAACTTAAAACTGTAATTGTTGAGCGTGGTGGCACACACCTGTAATCCCAGCAATAGGGGAGGCAGAGGCCAGCCTGATCTACAAAGCAAGTCCAGGATAGCCAAGGCTACACGGAGAAACCCTGTCTGAAAACCAAAAACCAAAACCAAACCAAACCAAACCAAACCAAACCAAAAAACTTGTAATGTGACCTTTGACACTAACTATGACAGAGCATGCAATGAAGCGATGCAGTCACAGACTACCAAAGAGGCTTCTTAGCTCCAAATAATTTCCGGCAGGTTTCTTTAGTTTATAAAAATAAGCAAGAGTCTTACACATTAATTACTGTAAATTATTAGCAGATATTATTAACTTAGGGACACATTTCTACTAAAGATAAAATGCCCAACAATTCCTCCATTGGCATGGATTAAACGACTGCCAAAGTTGGGTGTAGAGAGATGAGTTCCAATCTTAATTTATCTTATGTTTCCCCCTAGTCTTAATTCTGCTTCCCACTACAGCATAAGGTCAACATGCTCTTACTCAGAGAAGATTTTACTGTCTGAAGAAAGCTGTGTAGAGAGCTCACAGTCTGGCCTAGAGAAAGGAGAAAGGGAAAATATTTTAACAACAAAAAGGTTGGCGTACATACATATATTCCATGGTTGTTACTCTACATTACTAATGTCATGCTTTGGAATGTCTATCTCTGCACTTCCCTATCGTGATGTAATTCGGCGGGTATGTGCATGCATGCGTGTGTACACATGTGCTAATATGTGCTGTCGCGTTTCAAGGACCTGTAGTCAGTACTCGACCTACCTGTGGCCTTAGGCAAGATCTCTCTAGCAAAGGTCTGAGGAGGAATTGGGCCCTATGGGTCTGTGCCCTCTCCTGTCAGCGCCCAAACACATCCTCATTCTTCCCTGTGAAGACTCTGCTCCCTTCATCTCATACCTGGTCTCTTCCAGGGGAAATGCAGTTGAGAGCTGAAACTTGCTAGTACAACATTTTGCTAGGTGATCATGCTACAGTCACTAAGCATGAGGAGCAGGGTTTAAAGAGCATCTCCCAGCAGCAGGGCAGACCGAACACTGGCATGTGCGAATGTTCCACATCACCAGTTTTTGGCTTTTGAGATTTTTATTAATATAATGGCTGTGTGTGTGTGTTTCTGTGTGTGTATGTACATGTGTACAGGCAAGTACCATGAGATCAGAGGACGACTTTGCCAGTCTCCAAGACACAGATTTCAACTCATCAAATGGTAAGGTTTTTCAGTACTATTGGTGCCATAGAAACTGGCTAATATCATTGCCAGAGAATTTGCTTTGAGGGTAATCCTTTCTAGTGTTGAGAGATGGCAACTATTGCAAACTAGCATCCCTTTTCCCTTTATTAACACATTATCAAAATGAATTCATTCTACCCTTTACTGAGCATTTTTAATATAAAATTTCCTTAGTAAGACAAACAGTGTTATAGAATTGTATAATACTCATATTATTAGCACATGTAATTAAAATAGTACTTAAAGGTAAATGCTGTATGTCTATTGCATAGGAAAGCAAATGGAGATAGGCTCGCACTCTATAACCCAGGCTGACCTTGTACTTGTAGTGCTCTTCCTGCCTCAGTCCCCAAGTATGGAGCCAGGTGTGAGGCTGCACTCACCTTCGTGAGGGCTGCTGCGGAGCCCCATCTTTAACCCTGTCCCAGTCTAAGTTTTGTTCTTGTGAGGATAAAAGAGATAGTTTGTCTTCAGCATCATATGTCATATAATTAGATGCCTGGAAGTAGAACAAAAATAATAAACTTTTATTATAAAAGAAAAAAAACAACAACAAACTTTAATGAAAATGAATACCTAAAAGTACCTGATACAGTAAGACAAAAACATTTTAGAATATTTTACCCAATCAGCATTTTCCCCACATTTATTTAAAGAGGAACTGACTTGATTTTTATGTTAATGAACCACATTTTAAACGGCATTAGGAAATCATAAGGTAAATCATAACTCACGGACTGGGGCAGAAGTCTGAATATGTAATCCCAGCTCTGAAGAGACTGGAGCATAAGGGTCTCAGCTCTAGGTAGATCTGGGGCACCTGCTTAGGGAGACTGATCTCACTACAAGTGGTCCATGGCCTTTAAAAGATTTATTTTATATTATGAGATAAAGTCTCACTATGTAGTTAACTGTCCTGGAACTTGATATGTAGACCAGGTTGTCCTCAAACTCACAGAGATTGCCTGCTTCTGCCTTCCAAGTGTTGGGATTTAAGGCATGCCCCCACACTTGGCTAGCCCTGAAAATGCCTCATCCCAGAGCTAAGCAGAGTTGGTCTGGTTAGTACTTGGATGGGAGCCATCACCCCGCCTACACATAAAAAATAAAAAAGATAGAATAGAAATCCATGAAAATGATACAAATTTGTAGCTATTAAAAAATTGAGGAAAAGAGTCCATTATTAAAAATTCAAAAGTGCATCTGTTTCAAATATGTCCTATATGAAAGCAACTGCAGTAGTGATGCATATGAACAATATTGACAAAAAATAATGGCACATTACTTGAATAGAATTCTTATGTGTCACAAACCTGGTGATATTTTATTTGCATCAATCTTTACAAAGTTATTTATTTATTTATTTTTGTTTACTTTCAAACAGGTCTTCTGTAGCTCAGGATGGCTTTGATATCCCTTTGTGCCTAAGGGTAATCTTGAACTTCTGATCATCCTGCCTCTACCTTCTGAGTACTGGAATTACAAGCATACATCACTGGGATTGGAGAAATGGCTCAGTGGTTAAGAGGATTCAGGTTCAGTTCCCAGTGCCTGCCTGGCCTCCTGTGACTCTCCCTGCCTCCAGTCTGGAGGATCCTGACCTCTCCTGACCTCCCTGGTCACTTGTCATGCACGATACTTTTGGATAATGCTCTTGCAGACTGTGTACAATTTACCCTTGTTCACTCAAATGCTCATTTCTCTATCCCACTATCTGGTTTCAAGCCAAACATTGTATTGTGATATTTATTCTAAGCATCTCCTGTTTCAAGAAGTTTGTGTAATCATGCCACCATCTGTTCTATGGATTGCCAATAAAAGCCAACTAGCCAATGCTGAGCAATACAGAGAATAGGGTAGGACACCCTGGTCCAGTGAGGGGAAGAGAAAAAAAGTAAGGGGAGGATGGATGCATGAGGAGAGGACTTGGAAACATCAGGAGAAATGCACCAGACTTAGGGTATGGTTAAAAAGCAAGTATAATGTGGGAAATCTGAATGGGAGGAAGCTATACTAGCTTGGAGGCTTAGGATGGAGTGTTTATTGCTCAGCATTGTGCTCTAGGCCAATTAAATAAATCCTAGCCCCTCTGTGTGGTTATTTGGGCATATAGCTGGTTAGGGAGTAACCGCTGCTTTACTAAAAATATAAATCAATATTAAATATTAATAATCTTTCATCATGGTACACACAGATGTAGGCAAAATACCCACAGACATTTAAAAAAAAGTGCTGAACATGGTGGCACATGCAGGGGCAGAGGTGGACCAGCCTAGTCTTTATAGTGAGTTTCAGGATAGCCAGGGCTAAGTAGAGGTACCTTGTCTCATAACAAAGCAAATAAAAGCCAACAAAAAATAAAAGAAAAGAAACAAGCGTGTACCGCTATATCAAGTTCATGCTGCAATTCCAGCTCTGTTCATGGTAGGCAAGTACTCTACCAAATATGTTATCTCCCCAGCCCTATAAAGCTGATTTATTCAAAATGCTTTCCAGTTTTAGAAGTGTGGTTAAAATGTACATCTACTGTAGTTGATAATACTTTACTAGAATTCTCAAGTCCTAGACTACTGTGAGGACCCGTCCTTTTCTTGAAGGACTATGAACATTTGGATCCCAATGTAATAAACTGGGCTTCTTACATTTTCACTTATCATTATGATGATGATGACAATCATGTGTGTATGATGTTTGTGTGTGTGCAGGTGCGTGTGCATACCACACTGCACATGGAGAGGTCAGTTTTCGGGAATCAGTTTTCTCCCTCCACCGCGGTTCCAGGGAACTCAGGTCATTGGGCTTCTGTGCCAAGCACTTTGACCTGGGGAGCAGTCTTGCCTGCCCTGCATTAGTTTACTTAGTTATCTAGCTATAAGCCTAATTCCTTCCATCAAAATCCAAGGTAAAAACAGTCATCATTTCTAAAGCCTTTCCCAGACAAGGAACGTTGCCTATTTTGCCCTCGTACAAGGACCCTGCATGTTAGTTAGATTTTTAGGAAGACACTTGGCTCTCAGAGGATATTTTCTCCATGACCCTTAAGTGGCCCCTCTGTCAAAAAGCTATCAATGGCTGAGATGTAAATCCATCACTTCCTACCTATTTTCAGAAAAGAAAAAAAGTTGTATGATTATTTTATTTTTGTATCCCTGCAACTGTGCCTGATATTTAAATATGCAAACATATTTATGAATAATAAATTTAAGTTAGAGCATAATACATGATTGAAATGACCCAAATTGGATGAGTTTGCCTGAAAAATCATGTCTAAAACTATGATATATTAAAATAAATCATTGCTAAACATTAAAAAATATAGTATAATAAAGTTTATAAAAGTAAAGGCAAATGTAGAAGAATGGCATCTACTGATTCTTCTATGATGTATGATCTATAATAGTACAGTCATGTACAATTCTTTAAAATATATAGGAATTGAAAAGTCAAGCTTCTGCTGGACAGTGATGGCACACACCTTTGATGCCAGCACTTGGGAGGCAGAGGCAGGTGGAGCTCTATGAGTTCAAGGCCAGCCTGGTTTACAGGATAAGTTTCAGAACAATCAGGGCCTACAGAGTGAAACTAAATCAGAAAAAAAAAAATTAAACTTCTACGTAGCTTTGATATACCTTTAGCACCTTGTCTACCTTTTGTGTATGTCACAGGTGGTTGCTAAGTAACTTTTCTACCACTGAGCTATAGTCCCAGCCCTTGATTGTTTTAAGACACAATCTTGCTATATAGCTCAGGCTACACTCAAACAGGCTGTACAGTCCAGGATGGTTTCAAACTCATGAGCCTCGTACCTTTACCAAGTGTTGGGATTATAGGCAAATGCAACCAAGCCTGATTCTCAGACTCTTTTTTTTTTTTTTTTTGGGTTTGGTTTTTTGAGACAGGTTTTTTTCTGTGTAGCCTTGGCTGTCCTGGACTTGCTTTGTAGATGAGGCTGGCCTCAAACTCAGAGATCTGCCTGCCTCTGCCTCCCAGAGTGCTGGGATTACAGGCATGCACCACTGTGTCCAGCTCAGAATCTGTATTTTTGAAAATGTCATTAATATATTGTATTCATCCATATGTTCAGCTAGCCAACCAGCTAGCGAACCACTTGGGTGCTAATAACAAATGACTTCCTAGATGTGGTAGGATCCATCTGGCCATTCAGAGAGCACATTCAGAGTTGCCATCTGCACACAAGCACTGTTGCATGTTGACCACCTTGAATTTAACAAGTGTGTCCTAGGGATTGCTCTCATAGGCCAGACAGCAGGAGGCATCTCACAAGTCACAGCACCTGCAACTCAAAAGCCACAACATGAAAGGAGCTCATGCTTAGTACCTGCTTCAGGTTCACTTCTGCATCCTTTGAGTTCTTTGTGTTGGCTGCCCCATACTCAGTGCTAAAGCTACAATAGTCACAAAGAAATGATTGTTACTCCCTTATGAACACAGTGATGAGTCTTACTGTCAGGAAAAGGTGTCACATAAGTAAATGAAATCCAACTATTTACTTTTCCAAAACTATGTAATTTCTAATTATATATCTGGAAATAGAAACAGCCATGATTTGACTCGCATATGCTTCCTTTTCCTTGCTTAAAAAGTAGACTTCAGTTAAATAGCTAATGGGGTAGGAGAAATGAGACTATAGCATTTATAATTCCTTTTTCTCCATCTTTCCTTTTTTTTTTTTTTTTTTTTTTTTTTTTTACCAATTGAACTTGTTCCTTGACTCCAGACAAGTATATTGGCCTTTCTGTTTCCTCCCCACCCTCTCCTAGCTCCTTCCCTGTTACCACCCTCCTTTCCCACACTCAGGAATATGGCATGTAACCCCAATTTGTGTGTCATCCTTGCACAGGGGCCATGCTAATCTTCTGTCTCACTTCAGTTTTAGTATTTGTGCTACCAAATCCAGCAATGACTTCTTCAGTCCTCCTCCAGTCGATGATTTCTATTACAGACCCAATTCCTTTTTTAAATTAAATATATGCAGATTAATTTGCTCTCATCGCACCTCTTATCTATACTCATAATACCAGTCTTACAGTATTTGACTGTTTGAATAACTAAAATCTAGTACAAAATGAATTTCAATCACTTGGAAAACTTACTGAATATTTATCATGAACCATCCATTACAGGAGAAGATTTTCTATTAAGGCCAATCATACTTAATTTCCAGATGTTCTCTCAAATGTCTAAGTCATCTGCAGCTGTTACTATCTAGGCTGTGAACACATGCCAAGAAGAGAGACAGGGAACTGGAAACATTTTTATTTTCCCCTCTGGGCCTTACTGTTTTACCACTGTCAACATGAATATATACACTTATGTCAATGCCATCTGATAATGTATCTCTAGACTTCTCTGAAAATGCAACATTTGAAAACATATAAAGGTTCAAGAGTTATGTTTACAACAATAACTTGTGTAGCACTCATATTTATAAGAACTTAACAAATCTAAGAGCTTAAAAAAATGACTATGCTGCTTCTAAAGACCTACTGGAAAGGCCACCAACTCATTCTAATGGAAAGGCTCAGCCAGCTCTCAAGGCTGGCATATAGAGTGCACAAACAAAGCAAGAAGTAGTACTTATTGTTTCCATCGCCTTTGGCCTTGCTGTCAGCTGTGGACACACCATACGAACCTGCTGATTTCAGTCTGGGTTTCGGCTTCCATCCGCTGCTCTAGAAGATCCTTCCTTCTTTTGGCAGGTGTGTAATAGCGGTACTGCGACAGGAAGGACTTCGCTTCTGTTTTTAAAGTGCGTGGTGTGAATGGCAATTGCTTGTTAGAAAAGAGGTCTGAGTGTTTTTCCAGAAGATCTCCACTGGGTGTCTTGGAAATAACTAGCTGGATCCGGTGGCCATTTGGGAAGGCACTCCCTGGCCTCCTGTCACGGCCATGTCCAGAGCGTGGGCTCCTGGGTGCAGGCTCTGTATAAGCCATGCTGGGTGAGGAGGTGCTGGGATACTTCAGGGTGCCATCCATTAAGATTTTGTAAGATTCAGGCAGACTTAGATTCACTGAAGAAGGGACGAGTGACTTTGAAAATGATGGATATCTTGTCATTTCTTTGATTAACACATCCTCATCTTGTGGTTCCCCTGAGGGCTAGGAACATTTGACAGTCATCAGTTGCACTGCAGATTCATGTAAGTGGTGAATCTCAGCATAAGCTTATATGTGTACCTCGGCTCTAACTTCTGTGTAGCAGTGCAATCAGTACTTTTTTTCTCCAGTGATGGGACTGGATCCCAGGGCCTTGAGCTGCTAGGCAAGTGTTCTACAACTGAAATACCTTCCCAGCCTTGCCCTTATTTTCTAGAAGAGAGGGTCAGGCCACAGATGAATGCTGCTCTGCTCCTTACTCTTATATATTCTCTGTTTTAAGAATTCATCTGAAAAGCCGGGCTTGGAGGCTCACCCTTGTAATCTCAGGAGGCAGGCAGATCTCTGTGAGTTTGAGGCCAGCCTGGTCTACAAAGTGAGTCCAGGACAGCCAAGGATACAGAGAGAAACCCTGTCTTGAAAAACCAGAAAGAATTCATCTGAAAAACTAATTTTAGAATTTGTTTATAGCACAAGGAATCTTAAATTGATTTTAATTCATTTTTTGATAATGTACAGGTGAGCTAACTTACAAACTGATGTACTCAAGTAAGGAAACTACACTACTGCTTCCTGAATAGGTCCAGATACCTAATTTCCTTTCCAACCATTCCTTCCCCAAATAAAGACAAAATGAGTTAAAATGAGTGTTCTGTATTAAGTCATGAGTCCTTATGTCACCACTTCAGGACCTCAGCTTTAAAACGTGCTCCCAAACTAGACTCACATTACAGCTGGTGTACAAATTGCCAATCTCTTTTGAAAGAAATTTCTGAATCCTACAGAGCTAATTAATTAATTAATAACCATAAGAATTATTTATACCCACTGGAACGGTATAAGCTAAGTCTAGGGTAAGGAAAAATGCATGAGGCATTAGATTGTCTGTAAAAGGAAATTCTTATCAGTGTGATGTTTTACTAAACTGAAATACCAAAGAGAACCTTTGAGAAGAGAAGTACAGAGCTGGGGCCAGTGAGATGGCTGAGTATATAAAGGTGACTGCTTCCAGGCCTAACAACCTGAGTTTGATCCCTGAATCTCACATGATAGAAGAAAGGAGCTAATTCTCCCAAGTTTTCTTTGATCTTCACATGTGAGCATGCACATACATGAGTGCCTGTGCACACAACACACACACACACACAAAATTAGTAAATGTAAATAAAAGTAAATTTGCCCAGTATATTTAATGTTTAATGCTCAGCAATGGAAAACAAAACAAAAAAAAAAAAAAAGGAAAAAGAAATACTCTTATCAGTTTGATATGGGAAGGCAAGTTGATTTTGAGCTAAGAGAAAGCATGAGCCTTACCTAGTATATTTTCACATCTCAAACTCTACCTTGGATTCTACTCCCCCTTGGAAATCAAGAGAGTGCAATATGAAATTAGTTATACTGACTGATCTGATTTTTAAGATTATATAATAGTTTCCTTTAGTTTTAAATATTGAACTAAAGGAATAGGTATTTGCACACAATATGGGTAACACATTGGTAAGGCCATCCCAACAGAGAACGCAGGCCACAGGAACATTCTGGAACAAGCAGTCTGCCTACATGCTCTGCTTCATCGTGCTGACAACATGTGATGTCATTTGCTACAAACTGGATCTATGATTTGGATTTATGCAAAGTTCAAGTTAAGAACACCTACCCAATTTGTAATCACAGAGCAACTGAGTAATAAATCTCATTCAGGGATATAATAGCAGAAGAAATGTTAGACCAACATCTTGGAACTGCCAGGTTCTGGAACAGTTGAAAACTCAGTTCAACTGAAGACCAGGCTTGGTGCAGATTATGTGAAAAATCTAATACCTATTTTACAAAAAAATTCCAAATTATTTATATTGTATAAAAGAATAAACAGCTTTTAATTTTTATTATTTGGACTGCTTTGAAATGTTTCCTACCTCTATGCAGAAATATAGAGCATTCCTACATATTTGATTAGTGTTATAGCACAGAGAAAGAGCTGTGCCCATGGAAGGGAAGCACGGGGAAGGGTCCTGAAAGCTGGCATCTCATGAGCCAGGGAGACAGAAGGAATGCAGGAGGGCCTGGGCAGTGAGGACACAGGTTCTGAAATATGTGCTCATGTGCAGACCCTGCTAAGACACTACGGGCCAAAGCTAGCACTTTAAATTGTAACTATCTTTTCAGTGAGAATATTGTATAATTATAGTAAGTATCTGTTAACCATAAAAGTCTACCCAATTATTAAAATACATTACTAAAACCAAGAATTTAAGATAACTTGGATGTGTCTAAAGCATTAATGAATAAAGCTTGCTTAAAATGTAGGCAAACTAAAAATTACTATTCTAAATGGAACCATAAAATGTATAAATGCATAGATGAACTACCATGTAAGGCAAGCAAGTTATAGGATTGCAGATGCTAAAGGAAAAATGAATAGACATTAAATAATGTGTTTTATTTTACTTTATTATAAATGATTCATAAAATACATTAAAATATATAATTTAAAATTCAATAAGCTATTTTAATCTCAAAATTACTACTTTATATTCAAAATGTTAAGAGGTTAAACAATTTTAATAAAAATATTGGGGCTAGACATTTCTTATTTTGCAAAGGACCTGTTTTGGTTCCTAGGATCCAATGGTAGTTCAGAAGCACCTTTAACTCCATTTCTAGTGATTTGTCTATTTTCGCCCCTGAGGGCACATGGCATATGTGTAATAATATAACATACATTCAGGCACTCACACATATACATACAATAAAATAAATCTTTTTAAAAATCTACTCGTGATTCTAGCATGGATGGACATATTAAAAGGTGTATTACAATGCAGGTGGAGCAGATTTAATCTAAGGGAAGCAGCCCTCCTGGTCCTACAGCCATACAACAGCCCAGGAGCTCTCAACCCTACCTGCTGACTCCTAGATCTCATCCCCTGAAGGAGATGCTTCTATCCAGTGTCTCTTGAATATATTCATTGTTCCTATACAAACTGAACATGCCAAACTGGCATACTCACGCCTTTCATCAGTGCTACCTCAGAAGAAAACCTGTACTTTTTCTGGTTCGTATCAGAAGCCTGGGATCTCTTCACGTCTGCCTTTCCCTTCACATCATCTAAACAGATTTCAAGCCCTAGCACTTCTACTTTCTAAATAATAATAAACCTCCCTTAAGTGTATTCCCTCTGTTCTTTATAAGGCCCTGGATCAGCTCTTATTCTTTCTTGTCCAGATTACTGTAGCTCTCCTGTAATTAGTCTGCTGGTCACTGCAGCCAGCGTGGTCTCCATAAAGGGTATGGCATCACTGTCTAACTAAAAACTGCTTCATAGCTCCTCCATACTTCTCAAGGAGGAAACCAGTCCCAAATCTCCAGAATGGCTCCAATACCTGAGTCTTTCTTACTGCCTGCTGGTAAACCACACCTTCATCTGTACTGAAAGTCCTAGAGTTAAAAGCACAGTATCTGGTGCTCGGTAAGCAGCAGGGAATCTGTTCTGCCAAGAGGGCTTGCCTGCCCTTCCTCTTATTTTTCTTTTCTTTTGTGTTCCTTTCTTTCCCTCCTACCCTCCCATTTTCCTTCCCCTCCCTTTTCTTAACCATACCATGGATGCCAGGGCTTGAACTAATACTTACTCAAGAGCATGAGTAATCTCAATGGCTATTCTCCAACTGGGTGAGTTGCCCATCTTGACCCTTGGCACTTGGAGACTGAAAGCCTTAGGGAACCTAACTCCCCACACAAGTTTACAGCAGAAATTTTACATCATTTAGAACTCTGCAAAATTTCAAGCCAAGATTTATTACTAACTAAGGTTCTCTCATATATAAATTATACAGTGATAAAAGGTATGGAAAGAGGAAAACTATGGATTTTAAAAATGTTTCAATTAATTGAAGTTAACTAGATACCAATTCTAACAAACTCAAAAAATATCATGAGACTGTGTGAAATCGAAACATGTTATTTGGCAGTCTTAAAGAGTGACTGATTTTTAGGCATAATAATGTTGTATTTTTTTGAGAAAGGCTCACTGTGTTGTCTAGTGTTGACCTGAGCCTGGGGTACCTAGTGTGGCATTTGCTAGAATTATAGACATGCACTATTACGCCTGGCCACGTGGGTTATGGCCATGACTGTGGGTTATGTCAATGTGTTTATGGGTAAAACTATACAGAATCTTACAATCACATCCAAATGCTCTGATCTGGAGGAGGTTGGAGATGAAAGAACACTAGAACGAAAGATGAAAGAACACTGCCACATTGGATGACAGAAAGTTGTAGGTTTGCTACAGTATTAAAGTTTGCAAATCAGCTGTTCAGAAAAATGAGATTATGAAATCTGCAAATCATTGTATCAGCCAGCCTTCAGCAGAGAAGCTTCTTCTTGTAAGAAATGGTAATTAGCCCAAAGACCCACAACTGGACAATGTGCACAGGGGGAGAACACTCTGTCCTAAATGGGATAAATTTATCAAACACCTCCCCTCAAGGGTCAGGGAATGTGTGGAAAAGGAAGTGGAAAGATGGTAAGATCTGTAGATGGTAGAGGATTCCAAAGAAACACAGTTTTCAGACACAAGAGGGCGGATACAAACATGAACTCCGACACTGTGATGGCACACACAAGACCTGCACAAGTTCAAACCAGACAAAATCCAAGCATGGAGAAGAGAAAGTGAACACAGAGTTCCACCCTCAACTGAAAAGCTATTTGCAACTGACATCTGCTGGGAAATGGAAATCTGCTTTCTGGAATGACACTGAGTACATCAACCACACCCAGGCCTAGGAGTCAGACAACACAAAACAGACTCTGGTTTTTGTGCACTTTTTGTTTTATTTTGTTTATTTGCTTTGAGTTTTACTTTGTTGGTCTTTTTAGTTTTTGAGAGAAAAAAAAAACATGAAATTGGGTGGATAAAGAGGAGGCAGGGGAAGGGAAGAATATGATCTAAATATATTGTATGGAAAAAACTGAAATAAAAAATACCACCCATAAAAACACCAAATAATTTCCAACTTCTATAAGTCAGAATCCAGAAAAGGAGAAAGAATGCTCTGTTGGCTGAAGCTAGCATAAGCGGCCAGAAGGAGAAATGTACACCAGTAACAAATGTGCTCAGATGTCAAAATCCTCAACAAAAGTTTAGCCATTGAATTCAGCAACAGAAAACTTCAACACTTTAATCACAGCACTGAAGAGATAGAGGCAGGCAGATCTCTGTAAGTTTGAGGCCAGTCTAGTCTATTTAGTTCCAGGACAGCAAGGAATGCATAGAGAGACCAAACAAACAAAATGTAACAAAATCCAAAAGAAAAAAAGAAAGAAAAATTTTAATGCACCACAGCTGGGATCTGTTTATATTAAGTACACAAGTCATTCACCATGTTAACAAATGGAAAATCACATCATCATTGCTAAGAAATGCAAAAAGAGCATTGCCTAAAATTACCCATCAAGATCAAAATACAGTATATCAAAAATCTTTTTAATTAGAAAAAAGGATACTTTCATGGGAGAGACTCTGAAAATTAAGTATCAAATTAATTAACTCATCAAATTAAACAGAAGGCTACTTCTTCAAACAAATGTTAAAGAGAATCATAACAAAACAAAACAAAAAATAACCCTCCCCCCAAACAAAACAAACAAAACAAAACAAAACAAAACAAAACCCACAGTCCAGTCTAGCCAACCACACCCTGCAGGCCACATCATTCTTTCTAGCTTGTGGAGCTTGACTGGAACACAGTTAGGAACTTATTCCTGCATTGTTCATGCTTGCTTCCCACTGGCAGGAAGTTGTGACAAGGTGCTGTGGTGGGAAAGGCATACAGTGGAGATCCCTGCCTCTTGATGCTCAAAGCTTGCTGACCTAAACCTACTGGAAACAGTTCTGAACCAGGCGGCAGCACTGATGTGCCTCGGAAACATCTGCTTTTAAGGAGCAAAATGACAAACCTTACCTTCTGTAGGGAGTTTAAAAAGGACCTGGAATTCATCTTGGAATTGTTCTGCATTGTGGATTTACTTATTTTAAACTCCTTTTCATATCGTGCCAATTCTTTCTTCAGTTTCTCTCTTCGTTGTTGGTCTGCGTCTAAAGAAGGAAGCAAACCTTTTAGCATACCAACAAAACAGAAACACTAACTTTCTGCTTTTTTTAGACTCGTACTATCAAGGATCTCTCTCTTTGGAAGCTTCTCATTCTATACTCCAGGCTACAGGCTGTTCTCCAAGCTGAGAGCTGAGATAGCCTTGTCTGGAGGAGCCCTTCTCTGGCGCTGGGATTCGAGGCCAATGCCACCAGGAGCAACCATCACATCTTCCTTGCTAAACATAATTGCATTATGATAGATGAGTACAAATTCATATACTTTTAAAGTATGGAGAGATTCTAAGTAATATGTAATTTACAGACATTCCAAACAGAGAGTAGAGGCAGGAAAAACCACTTGATCCAGGAGTTCAAGGCCAGCCTCACAGCAACAACTCATCTCAAATGAAGAATCAATAACAACAAAGCCATGGAGACATTTTAAAGACAGGTGTACTCAGGCAAATGACTTCTGTTTCCTGGAACTGCTGCTCATTCGAAAGGCTAGTAGAACATTACTTTCTTTCTTCATAGTGTTTTTAAGTCAGGCACGGACAAGCAAGTTAATCAGAGAGTTATCACTAGACAAGCACTAAAAATGATAAAATGAAAACTAGCTACATTTCAGAATTAAACAAACAATAATATTACATGTATTTTTTTAAAAAATTAAAATGTCAAGGCTAGTATGGTGGCACATACCTGAATTTGACAATGTAAGAGGAGAAAAAAAGCCTAGATTACACAGTGAATATCAAGCTAGCCAGGTCAATATTCTAAGATCCTGTCTAAAAGACCAAAAGCCATGCAATGGGTTTAAGCCTGGGGAGTAGAGGCAGTGACAAGGCTCAAATGACCCAGTAGGTAAAGATGCCTTCAGCCCACGCCTGATAACCTATGTGCAATCCCTGGGACCCACCTGTGGAGAAAGTGGACTCCCAAAAGTTGTCCTCTGATCTCTACAAATACACTGCTGGACATGATTGTACACATGCATGCACACAAGCATGTACACACACACACACAAAGGTGTAATACCTAAGAATTCAAAACAACCCCCACAGAAAAAGGGAATATTCATTAACATTTTTATTTTATCTGTGCACTGTATGTGGACACAATGAATTGTGTGCAGACACAAATGATTTCTTGTATATGAGATGTTTAGAAAAGGCAAATCAATGGAGGAAAATGATTTCTCAAGGCTAGGGGTAAAAATTATGTGGCTGAAAATTGGTACAAGGAATTTATATGGCAATGAAAATGTTTTAAAATTGTACAATTTTGTACATTTGGTAAAGATCAGAGAATTAATGGCAAATCTTGTTACTAAAATATTTTATTAAGAATAACAGTAAAACTATCTTCTATAAAAATAAAGCTTGTATAGTACTCCATAAATACATACAATTTTATGTGCCTAAAAACGAATAAACGTTTAAAATAAAATGGGTTTAGGCTGAGGAGATAGCTCAGGGGGTAAAGTGCCTGTTAGGCAAGCATAAGGACCAGTGTTCAGATCCCCAGAACCCACGACAGGCCAGCAGCAATCCTCCGCTGAGATGGGAGGCAGTCAGGTAAAATGGCTAGAGGCCTGCTGGCCACCCAGTCTAGCACTTCCAGTGCTGAGCAACAGACTGTCTCCAACAAGATGAAAGTGGGGGCTGACTTTGATTGCCGCATGCACAGCATGGCACATATATGCCTAAACGCCTACACACCCCCACCCCCACCCACAGAGATTAGAAAATCAAATATTAAAAAAAGAAAAAAATAAGAGGACATGTTCAATCAAAAATTGTAAAGCTGGGGCTGGAGAGATGGCTCACCAGTTAAGAGCCCTGGCTGCTCTTTCAGAGGACCTGTTTTCAATCCATAGCACCCACATTGGTGCTCACACCTGCCTATTAACTACACTCCTGGGGATCTAATGCCCTCTTCCGGGCTCTTTGGGCACTGAACACATACGATGCACAGACATACATGCAGGCAAAATATCCATACATATAAAAGAAAAATAAAGGTAAAAAACTCTAAAGCTTATCTAATATGTGACATGTAACATTATTTAAACAACAAACTATATTCCAGTTTTGATAATGTGAAGACTTAAATGATTAAATCAGCATTCAGCCATATCAGGAAAGTATAGAGCATGAAAACACAGATGGCTTAAATCCAGTAAAATATTGTTTTATATCATAAGCCTATTTCTGAGTTACCCAGAGCAATTATGGTGAACATAAACTCAATATTTTAGGGAGTAATAATGGCTACTAGTTAGCACTTTGGAGCTAACAATCTTTTTTATTTTAGCCATTATACTTTTCTTTATTAGACAAAAACAAACTCATGCCTTAAATTATTTAAAGCAATATAATATCTATCATGACTAAATGGGCATTAAGTTGAGATTTAAAAACAAAATAAAAGCAAGATTTCAAATACCGTGCAATTCTTTCAACTTTCAAAATGTGATTTCTATCCTGAACTGCAGACTCATAGCCTAACTGCCTCCCTCAAGACAACTGCCTTTGTTTCTCACTTTAAGTCACGTGGGTGGCAGTGCACACGCCGTGAGTGCACGCAGAGGCTAGAGGACAACCTGCGGGCCACTGCTCTTCTCCCACCCATAGGCCTGCTGGTCACACTAGTTCGTTGGGTTTGGTGGGAAGTGCATTTCCTGCCAAGCCATCTTTCTGGCCCCAACTAACTGGATTCCTAACAGGTACACATTTTGACCTTCAAGTGACGAAGACTGACATCCCGAGTCATTTCCTCCTCTAAATCTTTTCCTACCATACTCCTCAGTTTAGTAAATCATGGTTCCATCTTTTTGGTTGACAGCTCCTTTTTTTTTCCTTCTCCCTGCCTCCTTTCTCTCACACCCTAGTCATATCTAAGCCATTGATAGATATGTTTGGAACATTTCCAGAATCTAACATTTCATTCTCTCTTCGCTGGTATCAATGTAGTCTAACTATCCACCTGCTTCAATGACAGCATTCTGCAGACTATTTTCACCTCAGCAGCTGGAAGGATGCTTTGAAAAGTAAAACTGGCTCTGATGCTTCCACTCAAGACCTCCAGTGGCCTTTCTCTTCATTCACCATGAAGGCCCAAGCCCTCCCAATGTATACCTCTGTCAGTCTTGGTAACATCATCTATCACTCTTCTGAAGGCTTATTTCACATGTTCCCCATGCTGCTTCTTTTAATTCATCAATCATGGTTCCATTTCATGGCTGTTTCTTCTGCCTGGGTTGCTTTTTCGCTGGATGGCCAAAACAATAGTCTCAGTTCCTTCAAGCTTTGCTTGTCCTTCCAAGACAAGGAAGAACTTCTCCTCCAAAGGCCCCCAGATTCCTTTACCAGGCTTTCCTCACCATTGTATGAGTCCCATCTGACATTTTCTATTTATTTGTATATGCTCATTGCCTGTCTCTTCCTATTACACTGTAAGCTCTGGAAATCAAGTAATGTGTTTTTGTTCAACATTTTAGCTTTAGTTTTTGAACAATGTGTAGCACACAGTAGGCTCCCATAAATATTCTAACTGACAAGTGTGGATTTTACTTTAAAAACTGTTATTTATGTGTGTGGCAGAAGTGGGGGAGAGAAAAGACTTGCACAGAGGCTAAGGAAGTCATCAGATCCCCTGCTCTACCACTCTCTAGTGTATGCCCTGGAGATAGGGTCTCTCCCTGGACCTGGGGCTAGGCTGGCAGCAAGGCCCAGTAGTCCTCCCATCTCCGTCTGCTACAGCACTGTTACAGTGTGTGACGCCACACCTGACTTTTTCATGGGTGCTGAGGATTTGAACTCAGGCTTATGTAAATGTTTCTTCAAAATTGAAACTAAGAACATACCCTTGTTTAGAATTTGAATGTAAATATGCTTTGATTTCTCTCTATGTTCTAAAATAATACATATAAAGCTCTCAGGTTTCATATTTTAAAATGTTTATTACTGATCCAAATGGAATTTTACATGAAGGAACTGGAATTTTACATGAAGGAACTAGAGAATTCTATTAACTTTTATTTCCCAAATGGCTAGTCAGCTCTTCCTTTGTTTAGTGTACACACTCACTTACTCTCTCTCTCTCTCTCTCTCTCTCTCTCTCTCACACACACACACACACAAAGCTTCTTTTAAATGTCAAATTCCTGTGTGGATTTTATCTCATTTCAGAATTATGTTTATTTATTTACTTGTTCCGATTTCACTACTAAATGCTTCTTAGTACCAAACTTTTAAACACCCAACAGAGCTGCTCTCCCACTCCGACCATGTCCAGATTATTTCTTGTATTGATCTACCCGGGTTAATTTTAGAATACATAGCAAAGTTGCAAAAAGCAACATTCATTTTACGGCAATGTAAGTACTCAGGTATCCACAGTTTAGTGGTTCCATGACTCCCGCACGTTAGCAAAATCAAGTCCCTTATGTATTATCTTCTACAGGCTTAGCCTAGTTTGTTAAGAGTCTTTATTATATTTTCAGTTAGGTGTATCAGGGCGAGGCACAGTGTTTTGCAGATTTTTGCAGGTGTCCACAGAGGTCGTAAGTGTGCTTTGGATCCCCTGGAGTTGGAGTTACAGAGGAGCTGCTGGCAACTGAACTCAGATCCTGTCAAAGAGCAGCAGCAAGTTCTTTGAATCACTGAGCCATCTCCCTACCTGTCTTCCTATGTACTTTAAATCATCCCTAGATTACTCAAAATACATATTACAAAGCAAAGTGTATGAAAATGGTTATGCTTGGTTTTTTTAAAGGAATGAACAGAAAAATCACTAGGTAGTATATGTCAACAACAAAGTTTGCCTTTTTATTTCTGAGGCATCTGTTGGAATGGCTCTTCTTTTATTTCTGATTTTGAGTCTTCATTCTTTTCTTTCAACCTAGCTAAGGGTCTATCAATTTTCAACAAACCAGATTGGTTTGTTGTTGTTTTGTTTTTACATTCTGTTGTTTTTCTGTGTCTCTTTTCTAATCTATTATTTCCTTCTTTCCACTAACTGGGGACTCCTTTTCTTTTCTAATCTTTTTCCTTTCTGTGCTGTGCTGACTCGAGGTCTCTTACACGTGAGGCAACTGCTGTTGCACTGAGCTACAGCCTCAGCTCTTTCCAGTTTCCCAAGATTTCCATGTAAGTTGTCTGAGATCCTCTCTTCTATAGTGCAGGCATTTGCACCTTAGCACTGACTATGCTCTGTCTTAAAGTTTTAGTATTTTTGTAGTCACTTGGGTTGCTGTTGTTTTTAAGGTTCGGGGCTCTTGTTTTCACTTTCGTTTGTAGATTGTCTTACTGTAGAGCCCAAGCTGGCCCTGAACTGTCAGGCCCACTGTGTCACTGCCCAGGTAACAGGTGTGCAGCACCACATATCATCCAGAGTTCTATTTGGACTTCACCTTGGACTCAAAGTTACTTAGTTTCCAAATGTGTGAATTGTACTGCTTTCTGTTTTAAATTTTTATTTTAATTAAATTGTGGTTAAAAGATACCTGCAATGATTTTTGTTTTCTGAAATACATTAAGATTCATTTGTGACTTGATATGATGAACTCCAGGAATGTTCCATGTCGTCTTAGGGAAAGTGTCTACTATGCCATTCAGTGGAAAAGTTTTGGTGTGTTTGTTGGGTTCACTTCATTAACTATGTCATGTAACTCAGATATTTCTGTGCTGGTTTTGTTTAATCCTGCCATTACTGAAAGAGGAGTATCTTTATCTACTGTCTACTACCACTGTATTGCTGTTTTGAGATATAGATTTTTCTGTTACTATTTGCTTTATATATTTCCAGACTCCAAAACTGAGTATATATAATTGCTAGACTTTCCTATTGTACCTTCTAATGACCATATTTTTCTCTATAGAAAGTTCTGACTGAAAGTCTTTTTGGCCAACATAATAATAATCACTGGTGATTTCTTTTGGTTTTTATTCCTGTGTACTATCTTCGCTTTTTATTCTTTCATTCAGTGTGTGTCTTCATATCTAAACCAAGACCAGTATGAACAGCACATCAATTTTTCTTTTTCTTTTTAGATTAAGCCAATTACTGTGTACCTTTGGATTGGAAAGTTTAATTTGTTTACATTTAAAACACACATACTCACACACACACATTGGTTTTTCAAGACAGGGTTTCTTTGTGTGTGGTCCTGGTTGTCCTGGAACTCACAGAGAAACAATTGCCTCTGCTTCCCAAGTGCTGGGATTAAAGGTGTGCGCCGTTGCCACCATCCAGCTTAAAACATATTTAAAGCTGGGATTTATTACTATTGTTATTGTTTCCTATATTCTTGGCAAGTGTTTTGCTTCTATTATTTGGTGATTTTTTTTGATAATTTATTTTTGTAAAACAGGAGAATGTGGGCGTTTCTAAATCCACAAACAAAACCAACCAAACAAAAACCAACCAAACAACAAACTAACCAAACCAGAAACTACCATGTGTTGTGTCTGGAGAAACTAAAAGCCTTGCATGTGACTGGTAGAATGTAAAATCATGCAGAAAACACCATGCCAGTCCGCAAAAAAAGCACAAAGAGAGTCAGTAGGAGACTGAAAAACTTCACTTCTAGGTATATACTCAGAATACCTGTATACCTATGGTGCCAGTACTACCACTGACAGCAATGGAAGGAAGACTGAAGTTGCTAATGTGAACAAACAAAATGAGGCACATGCACACATTAAGATTTTATTCAGCCTTAAAAAAAGATTTTGGGCTGGTGAGATGACTCATGCAACACTAGCTTAGTGTCTGAGTTTGGGCCCTAGAACCCAGTTAAAATGAGAAGGAAAGAACTAATTCCACAGGGCTGTCCTTTGACCTCCATATATATGCCATGGCTCATGTGCTAACACATATATCATACTAACATGCACAATAATAAACTTTTAAAAAAAGATTCTTATATATTACAACGAAAGCAAATCTTAAGAACATTATGTCAAGTAAAATGTTGGTCACAGAGAAGAAACACTGTAGGGTTCTACTTAATCAAGGAACTTAGAAAGTTCATGGAAAGTAGACTGGAGAGACACTGAACTGAGAGACAGAATGACATGTGGTTCCCAGGGGCTCACACATGGCCGAGGGTAGCTGGATGACAGTGATGACTCTCCTTAAACATACAAGTCACCGAAATGAACACTTAGAAATAGAATGATAAATCTCCAGCCATGTGTTTCATCATCTTTTAAAAGGGATATTTATGTTTAGAAATTACTTACATTTGATGCTGGTGCTCACACTTATGGGAACTGAGCAGTCCACTGCGGCTGAAAGAGAAAAAGATTATTAGTATTCTTGATATTTACAAATAATGAAAAACATTAAATGTATAAATCATAAAAAGCTCTGCAGACTTGAAGTTCTTTGCTTTAGTATTGTATTGCTAGAGATTAAAAGTAAGAGAGCAGATAAAAATTACTTGGTAGGTAGGCCCTTGGCACACATGTAGAGTTGTGCAGCTTGGTCTTCAGGTGGGACTCCTAACAACTGACGCAGGGGCTGTCTCTGACTCTGTTGCCTGCCTTTGAATCCCTTTCCCCTGGCTGAGCTACCGTGTCTAGCCTCACACACCACAACTTATAAGTCAAGGCAGGTTGATATCCATTGGAGGCCTCCCCTTTGCTGAGGAGACAGGGAAGAAGGAAGGATGGGGGAGGAGGAGTGAAGGGAGGTGTTGGGAGGAGAGTAAACTGTGGTCAGATGTAAATAAATAAATTAATAAAAATACTAAGTAGAATTAACAGCTTATTAGATAATGTGGAAGAAAATACTGGTAAACTTGAAAACATAGCAGTATAACCATTGAAAACAAAATATAAGGAAGACTGAAAAAGAAATGAACAGAGCATTGATCGCCTAATGCCATGCCTTAACTATGGCACATCAACACATGTGAATGGAGTCTTAAAGCAAACTGGAAAGAAAAGAGAAAATGAAGCATTTACACTACCTATTTCAAGACTTCGTGTAATGTTACGAAGATAACGCAGGTTGGTGTGGACAGAAATGTGGACAAGTAGATAAGTAGGTAAAAAATAAAGTCTCAAGACAGATTTATACATCTGGTCAAACTATGATAAGGTAATTTAATAGGGAAAGGATTTTCCCTATTTCAATAATTGACTCCAGAAATTTTATATATAAGTAGGCAAAAACCAGTATCAATTTTTTTTATACAATATATCAAAACTCAAAATGAGCCACATAAACTTAAATGGAAGAGCTAAAAGCAGAAAGCTTCTAGAAGAAAACAAATTTAGAAAACCCTAAGATTAGAAAATGATTTCTTAAACACATTTTTAAAAATACAAATTCCAAAATCATTGAAAATTGGCTTGATTTTATGATTTTAATGCTGTAACACGTTATTTTCCTCAGTTATTTAAAACGTAACCTAAACATTTTAAACTTCATGTCTTGAAGCTACATAGTGAAAAGCTAATGTCACAAAAAAGTAAATAAACATTAGGTAAAATTAGTTAAAAAATTAGTGAAATTAAAGTTTCTAGCTAAAGTTGCAAATATTCACAAAGAAGAGACACCATACGGGCAAACAGCTAGTGCTGGTGAAGATGTAGTGACACAAGAAACACAAACCAGCAGTCACTCCAGAAAGGATACAATCACAAAGCTAAACGTTCAGACAAAGCTTCCATTCTACTCTTAGTAAAATAGAAACATATGTTCACAACTGTATAGAAACACAATAATTTAATTCCCAGTAGCGCCCAGTAGTTTTGAGTCAAAACCACCCAAAAATATTCACCAAGTCATGAATCAACTAATTACAACATATTCATTAAACGGAATACATTTTTTGTTGTTGTTGTTATTTTGAGACAGGGTCTCTCTCTATAGCCCTGACTGTTCTGGAACTCCCTATGTAGATCAGGCTGGCCTAGAATTCAGAGATCTGCCTCCCTCTGCCTCCTGAGTGATGGGATAAAAGGTGTGTATCACCAATTTATACTAGTTATAAATAAAAATAAATATGTTTAAGGGCTGGGGAGATGATTCAGTCAGTAAAGTTGTGCAAGCACAGGTCCTGAGTTATATCCCCCAAACCCATGTAAAACAGCCAGGTGTGGTGGCGCACACTGACAGCCCTGGTGCTGCGGAAGCAGCTGGCTCCTCAGGCTTGCTGGCCAGCCAGCCTACCCTAATGGGTGAGCCTCAGGCTGGTGAAAGACTTGTCTCAAAAATAGGGAAGAATGACATATGAGGATGTCCTCTGGCACACACACACACACACACACACACACACACACACACACACACACACACACCGCCCCCAAACTAAGAAATACTGATAAAGACAACATGGATGCCTCAGAGCATTGTGCACATTGAAAGCCAGATCCAGTGTATAAATACCTATTAGTCTAGAAGCATAAAATTGTAGAAAAGGCAAAACTTTTTGTAGGAACAAAGCACAGATCAGTAACTTCAGAGATCTGAGGGGGAAGCACTGACTGCAAAGATTAGAAGGGGAACTCCTTTAGGATAATAGAAATATCCCACACCGGGGGTCAGTAAAGTGTAATTGTAAGGGCAGAGGGTAAATGCTCTGGCTTTGAGAAATGACTTGGCTGATCACAACTAGTTGACTCTGCCTTTCAGGGCAGAGCCGGTGTGAGAAAGAATGAACATGATGATGCTTACGGGAATTAAATTCAAATCTCATACTATTTCCAAATGCTATAAAATACTACCTATTGATTTATTTAAGCAGCAATTTAAAATACACCATTCTCTGCTCATGAATTGAACAAAAACAACTGGCAGGAACACTGACATACATGCTATAGTTAAATGATCTCTGGTTAACTGTGAATACAGTAGTGGTCAGAGATGTACGTATTTGCAAAGTATTTCCCTATGCACTTATAACTAGTGCACCTATTTTATACAAGTTAACTCTTAATAAAATCAACAATAAAAGAAAAAAAAGTGGCAGCCAGCATCTTCTTTGTGTAATTTACCAAGTAAAAGAGCAGCTTATACAATTCTATTAAGAGCGGCATCCAGCTGGACATGGTAGCACAACACATTTCTTGGGAGCCCAAAGCAAAAACATATTGACACCAGGCCAGCCTGGCTTTATACTGAGACCCTGTTTTTCAATGTAGAAAAAGGAAAGGGCACAGGAATTTAGCACAGCCACTAATGTGTTTGGCATGAAAGCACAAGGGTGTCTGGACCCAGGACGTCAGCACCCACAGCATGGCAGCGACGTCTGTACCCCAGCACTGAGAGGAGACAGAGAATCTCGGGCTTACTGGCTAGCTAGTCTAACCCTAACATGCCAAGACCAAGGTCTCAGGGAGAGGGCCTCTCAAAGAAGAGATGGCTCCCAACAAATTACACCTACGGTTGACCTCTGACTTCTATATGCGTATGCACACACATACATAACATGCCCAAACACACAAACGTGCCCCAATACACACACATAAACTTTTAAACACAAACAGAAAAATGAGCAATATCTAACAACAAAAATAATATTAGAATACAGTAAATGAACCGAGGATGTAGTTGTAAATATTGTTAAAGTAATACTAGCTGTTAATATAAAAAATAGTTGGTATCTCACTTTAAGAAAACAAGTCCTCTTTGAAATAATGTACTAACTTTTGACTCAGGTTTACCATAATGAGAAGAAAAGCTAGGGTTTAAATTGGCACAGAAAGTTCACATTTGCGAATTTTTACCTTTGGCTGAAAGGATTTTATTATAGTGAACAGCCATGTGGTTCTTGACCAGCTGCAGAGTGGTTAGTCTGAGAGAGGAGGAATCAGTGCAAAAAGCTAAAAATTAAAAATAGTCCGTCATTACAGGTTTAAACTTGACATAAACATCACAAGATACACAGTCACTGAAGTCATTCTTAGTCATGTTCTGGAGTTCCCTGGAAGAGGCTGAGGGGACACTTCCATGCTGCTGTGTCCAGCCTTTGTCTTGCCCTGGTGGCTCTGATTAGCAACTCGTCAGTTTTGTTCAAACCACTTTAAGAGTTAAGTTTGACAGGCTAGAGAGCTTGGGAAAGAGATTCTAGAATATAATCTAATAAAATAATCCAGAATGTAATCTGTTAATAGATTAGTTGTGTTAATCTGTTAATTAATTATTATTATTATCTATTTTATGTCTTTTTATCTCATAACTGAAACTCTTCAGTCACTTGCTTGGTTATATGAACAAAGCACTGAGTCTGGGAAATCAGACAAGTCCCAAACCACAAGACCCTGCTCTGAGAGGCAAGGCTCTGATGTTACACCTGGACTCAACATCCACAGACTGCTCTACATACAGGAGCAGAAAAGCCTAGGCTGTTCAACTTTTCCACCTTCACTCAGATTGCTGAAAGGGAATCTTAGAAGCAGTAAGCACCGATATTTAAGTATAAAGTACTGTGGACGCATATTCTTAACCATTAAAAACACTTTTCTGCATGTGCACGTGGGTGGTGTAAGTGCGTGTGTACACATATTCACATGCGTGTGAGTACATGTTTTGTGAGAGGAGTGTCTGTGTGTGTGTAAGCGTGTCAGGAACCTTCCTCAATCACTCTCCGTCTTCTTTACTGAGGTAGGATCTTTTCATTTGAACCAGTGAGCTGATGAGGCTAGTCTAGCCAGCCAGCTTGTCTGGCCATCCTACCTCTGTCTCCTCAGGCTGGGGGGGGGGCGGCAGCTGCTCCCACAAGCTTTTTCATAGCTTTTGAGGATCCAACTATAAATGTGCATGGCAAGTGCTTTATCTATTTATCCACTGAGCTGTCATCCAGCCCCCGAAAAGAAGCTATAGGGACGTACACTTAGAGAATTCAACAGTGGAATAGAATATAGTGGAATTGAAAACAAGTGGCTCTTCTACACGGACACTGAGATTCCCTCCTGTATCTATCCTGCAGTACCTCAAAATCAACTCATTCAGGGAAACTGCAAGACAAGCCTGTTACCACGGAAGACGCTGCTGGCGGGCACTTGCCATGCATTGTTACACTCTCTCTACCAGTAAAATGTTTCCACTTAATAGAAGTGGAAACCGAGGCACTGGGCTGTGAACTAAGTCTGTGTCATATTATAGACAAGGAATGCGTGCTGAGATAAGAGCCAATGCAGCTGCAGACTGACAACTCTCTGCCTGCACTAGCTCTGCAAGCACACTTGAAAAGTTAACAAACCTTCTATTGTATTCTTCACCCTGGTCGTGTGTGTGTATGTGTGTGTGTATCTAAAGATTGGATCTAGGGTTGCATATATGTTATGCAAACACTCTACCCTGAGCTATATCCCCAGCACTCTTTACTTTTTATTTTGAGAGAGTCTCATTCAGTTCCCAGGATTGCCTTGATCTCACTGTCTAGTCCAAGCAGGCCAGAAACTTGCTATCCTCCTGCCTCAGCCTTCCAGATAATGGTATTACAGTCTTGCACAACAAGACATTGCTTCAAAGGATTTTTGCTTGTTTTTTAAAAATCAGTTTTCCTAGCTGTTTCTATGTACACACTCTGGTACAAAGAAATAAAATGAAATAATTGAAAATATCATCATTTGTTCATACTTAGAAGAAACAGTATAAAGGATTTTTCATGGAAATAAGAACAATAGGCTTAAATCATTGTTCCTAAAACCCATGCCAAAGACTTTTAAGTTATAATTACAAAAATTATTTTAGAGTTAACATTAAAATTTTTCTTTGAGGAGTTTAAAATATAAAAGCATCACAGAACATAAATATTAACTTATAAGTATTAGCTGAGAATATATTCAAGTTTTCTCTACACAGCTTTTCTTTATGGCTTGTCTTTATCACTTGATAATCATCACCTTAAGGCAGGCATGCCTTACACCAGACCTTGTGCTGGCAAAAGTAGTCCCTGCCTGTAGCAGTTCAAAATCATGACCCCCTAATGTATCTACAGAATCCCTACAGCATTTCATTCTGACTACTAATGTGAAATACACATGTTCAATAGCGAACCGTCTCATGTTCCCCGCAGAGAACAGGGAGTGTTTAATGAAGCTACAGTTTTAAGTAGCTCACTTACCGTTGCTCTTGGTGCTCAAGTGTCCTGTAAATAGGCATGGTGGATTGTATCTGGGAAGGACAGAGGCTGCTCTGACTTTCAACAACAATAAAAACCACAAATTAGGACATGTGAAGCACAACTTTCACACACAAAAAAACCAATACAAAATATTTTAAAAATAACACATTTATTTTTAAACAAAGTTGTTGAAACTTTTATTCAGGTAAGCATGGTGGTGCGTGCCTTTAATCCCAACAGTTGGGAGGCAGAGGCAGGCAGATCTCTATGAATTTCAGGCCAGCCTGGTCTATGTAAAAAGTCTAAATCCAGCCAGGGCTACATAATGAGACCCTGTCTTAAAAAATAAATCATTCGAATAAAATGTAATTAATGAAAAAAATAAAAATTTAATTAAAAATAAATCATTCAATTATGTTACCAGCAATAATATATCAAACTGAAAAATCCTATGACCACAGACTGAACATATCCTTTTTGAGAAAATGAGACAGGGCTAGGAGATGGCGCCATTGATAAGGAGGCTGTCACATAAGTACCAAAGACATGATTTTGGAATCCATGTAAAAAGCCAGGCATGGCAGTGCCTCCTTATAAGTCCAGCTTCGGAGGAGATGTGGATGGACACAGGTAGATCCCTGGCACTCGGACAAACTACCGTAGTTGAGTCATTGAGCTGCAAAAGTTCACCGACTTGACAGTTTTAGCCGTCAGCTCAACACAGCCTAGAATCAGCTATAAGAGTCTCAGTGAGGGAGTGCCTAGATCACACCCAGTGCTTCAAGCCCCTCCTGCTGTGCCTTCCATGCAGGGATGGCCAAGAGCAACAGAAATAAAACTACAACAGCGGAAGACCTTGCCTTAATAAAGGAGAAGAGCTGAGGAAAGACAGACGACCTTAGCTTCAGACCTACACACAGGCGCACACGTACATGTTTAATGAAGAAAACAAGCTAGTTTATGTGAAGTGTTGTATGTGTGCGGTGTGCGCTTGCCAAGTGCTCTACCACCAAACTGTTTTAAACTAAGTTATTGTCGGAACCATTAACGCGGGGACTGCAGTTTTACCAGCTCAAGTGATCAATATATCAGCTATGTCACTTGATATATACTGACTTTATTCTGTTCACTACTGACACATTAGCGTCTTTGTTTTGTAATAATACATATTTGAGTTATACTTATTAGTTTGTCTTTTGAGATTAGGTCTTACCATACTGCCTGGTCTCGAATTCCTAGGCTCAATTGATCCTGCCTCAGCCTTCCAAGCAGTTGGAATTACAGGTACACACCCACATACCCAATTATATACACTACATTTAAAGAGGGTTCCAGTGATGTGAAAATAGTGTCTGAAATTTGAGACTGCATGGGATTAGAAAATTACATAGCTTTCATGAGAAAATAATTTCTTTTTCCAAAATGTAATTGGTATGTTCAGTAATAATCTTGAAAAAAATCAGAGTTTCAGTGATTAGTGTGCAGAACATGAATACTGTAATCTCCAGGCAGGGTTTTTTTTCTTTTTTGTTTGTTGGTTTTTGTTTTTGTTTGTTTTTGGTGTGGTGCAGATCAAACCTAGGTCGTTTCTAGGTTCTAAGATGTGCACTGATTGGTTTCTAACATTCCTAACAGAGAAATGTCATGTTAAAACTCACAGACCTGAAGGGAGGAATAGACAACTCATTTCATCTGGGCTCTCTCAGGCACTGCTTCCTCGAATGGGGTATATCTTTCTGTTTCTTTACATGATTTTTTTTCCCAATGCAAATGTTAGGCAATACTGTAGTAACTGTATATATATAAGTTTTCTCATTTCTTTTACTACTTTTATAACTGTTTAACAGTCCTTTGTACTCCTCACTTAGGAGTATAAAGGTACAGTTTCTATATCCTGATTGGACCCAGGATGATCCAAAAGTTAGTCTCAAACCAAATGCCAAATAAAGAACAGCCTTCTTTAAATTAAGACTAAAAATTAGTGTGTGAGATTTATGGTTTTGGTAGGACAGTCAAACTTCAGCTCAGTTTCCTGAATGATTTGATTTTACTAAGAACTGGAAGAAACTTCACTGAGGGGAAAAAAAAAATGGCGTTTCAGTATTTTCCCAACATTGCTGGAAGCTTAGGAATAGGTCGCTTACAAAAGTATCTCCAAGGGAACAATACATTAGAAAATCTTTCCCAAGATCTTTTCAGTTAGCTGTCCTAACAGGTTGTTTCCTCTTGCTTTTGCAGCACAGGGTGCTGATAATACAACGGACATAGGACCAATAGTCTTAGTTTTCTCCTTTCAGATACTGGAAACACAGCCTTACAGATGAGCTAGTCTAGCTCCCCATGTCACAGCAACTAAGGCCTGGGAAAGAAAAGCAGTTGGCAGAAGAAGCATCATTAGTTAATATCAGAGACTAGAAACAAGACCTAATGTTTTTCAAGCTGGTGGCTTTCTGCTACACCACCACTCTGACGGTTGACCCTACAAAAGAATGTGGTTACTGTAAGAAAGGGAGGAACTTTCCCCTCAAGTCTCTTTAGCATTTTCTGGTCTGAAATAGCCGAAGGAACTAATGAAATCTAAGATATTTACTTTAAACTAAAATTAAGCATTTACGCTCCAGCTAAATTAGTGGTTTACTTACAATTTGTGCTCAACGACAATTATAATTACTTACAATTTATAGCATATGAAAACTTGTTGAATTTTACAAGTTCAAAACTAGAAACAATGATATTACTACATAATGAACTAAAAGTGAGGCCACTTGATAAGTTACAAAGTATGAACCCGTTTTCATTTGTCACCTCATTTCTATTAGGAGACAAATGCCCCACTCTGCTATGTAAGTAAAACAATTAACTCAAGGGCTTTATATTCTTAGTCTGGGTTCAGAGGGTATTCTGTCACCTTCTGTGACACTGGGCGAATTATTTATAATATTTTGTTTTCTTTATCTCAAAATATGACTAATACCATTGAACAAGATTTGTGTGTGAGCATTAAACAAGCGTTTGGTATTCTGAAGTGTTCGGTGTCTGAATATCCTATTTGTTGACTTTCTACACGAAGTCTAACTTCTCTTGCTCTATTATTGTAAAATAAAGGTGCATGCAAATTTAAAAGCAAGATTTAACTCAAGGAATCATTCGCAGATCGATTCAAAGGAACCTTTTAAATAGAACCTCCCCACCCCGCCCCGTGTGTTTGTGTGTGTGTGTGTTTGTGTGTGAGGTGTTGCTCAATAAAGAACACTTGCTTAGGCTGTGAGGCTTCAATTTCGATTGGGCTTACTTATGAATAGGTCACCAACTACTTCACGCTCTCCACTTGACTCAGAATGTCACTCAGGGTAAAAGGTGTGCCCTGTGATTATGGGTAGTCTTTTGCTATTCAACATTCAGTCCACCAACCAGCCACATTGGAAGTTTATAACGAATGCGGTATCCCAGCGCTGGGTGAGTCAGTTCTGGAGGGAGTGACGGGCGACTTCGTATATTTACACCAGCAACCTGCCACATACTATCTGCACTTAATCTCCAGGCGCTCCGTGACATGGGCATTTTCTCCCCCACGATGAGGAAACTGAGGGTCGTTTAAGGCCTGATCTGGGACTCAGGTCAAACTTCCAAGTTGAGGCTTGGTATTCTGCCCGGGATCAGGGGATGGGATGTCAGGGCGACAAACTCAAGGGCAGGAAGGAGATCAATGAGCCGGGCAAGCGGGGCCTCCCTCTGCGCTCCGGGCCTGTCCAGCTCGAGCTGTTACCTCGCGGCACTAGAGGAGCTGGCAGGCGACCGAAAGGCCAGGGCGCGGCCTGGACACGCGCAGCCCCTTACCTCTCCGGCTGCCATCCATGCTTAGTTCTCCTGCCCCCTTCTCTGGGACACTCCGCGTTCCCTTGGTTCTTGTCGGGGTCAAGCCGGTACCTACAGTGGAGGTTTGGAAAGACTACCCCGCGGACGCCTCAGTGGCAGCATCTTCAGAGGCCGTCGCCAGGCCGGTTGCTAAGGGCGGGCTTCGCGGCCGCAGATTATGACGTCACAGTAAGGGACGCGTGCTCCTAGGCCCCGCCCCGCCCATACAACACCGACAGGGACTCCAGGCTACAGCAGCAGTGTGTGTGCGGGGCGGGGTTAAAAGGGCCCCGGCGCCAATCCGTTGCTATGAGAGCTTGTCAGCTATGCAGAGTGAACTGTCAGAAACGCAAGTCACATCTGTTTCTATCACCATGCCCACTTTTTTACTTGGATACCGGGGATTAGAACTCAGGTCCTAAGGCTTGCAGAGCAAGCACTCTTGACCAGGGAGTCATCTTCAGCAGCCCATATCTTGGTTTGCCATCATTAGTTTGAATATCCTTCCTGACTACTGAGTTCCTCACCTCTTACCCTCGCTCTCCTTTTATCTCAAAGCTACAACTCCAATTTTATTTTGAATGGAAGAAGAATGTGTGTGTGTGTGTGTGTGTGTGAGAGAGAGAGAGAGAGAGAGAGAGAGAGAGAGAGAGAGAGAGAGAGAAAGGTCGATCTGATCCGCGGCTCTCCGCCAAGTTGTTTATTTTTGCAATAGTTAATTGTGAGCTCTTGAAAGTAAGATCAGACTCGGGTAGAGGGAGTGCAGAAAGCATTCTGTCAAGCTGGGTTTCTCAGCATCCTGTTCTTGAACTTTTCGGCTGGGTGTGTGAGTCTTTGTGGGCTTATATAGCAGCATTCCTGCAAGCAAACTCCTGACAACGAAAAATGTCGCTAGGTATACCTCTGTCATCACAAAAAGCACACCAGATCCCGGGCCAGACTTGCTGAACTGTGGGCATCTATATATTATCATTGGTTTTAATTGCAACTTGCCACAAGTTAGACTCTCCGGAATAGAGAGCTTTTCATGATTGCCTTAAACGATTTGGAAGACCCACTCGGTTTGTGGGTGCTATCTTTTGGTAGCAGTACGGATTTTAAAGCGTTATGGCAGATATGGAAAGTAGCTCACCTCTTGCTGGCTTAGCTTTTCCTCATGCTGCCCCGTTGACTTACCCTTTTGCTGCTGTGGTTGAATCCTTCCACATCAGAACCAGATTTTCCAGTTTTCCGCCAGGAACTAAGGACCAACCCTCAGCTCTCCAGGAATTTTTCAGGTTTTTGACACCAGATTGAGACTGCTGAGGCATCCAGCCTTGTGGATGGAGCAAGTAGGCCAACCTGCCTGTGAGAAATAGTCATTGTGGGGCTACTCTGACTACTGAGGCAGTCGAGGATAAAGAAACTGTCAAGTTCTCAGCCTCTCGGGCGTAATTCAGCTGTTTTTGCTATTTTCTTAATTTTTATTTATTAATTATTAATACAGTATTCTGCCTATATGTGTGTCAGCAGACCAGAAGAGGGCACTAGATCTCATTATAGATGATTATGAGACACCACATAGTTGCTGGGAACTGAACTTAGGACCTTAGAAAGAACAGCCAGTGCTCTTAATCCCTGAGCCATCCCTCCAGCCCATGTTTTTGCTATTTTAATGTAAGCTGACTTAAAAGTTCACACATACACAAGCAACACACACACACACACACACACACACACACACACACACACACACACA